TCAGCACATACACTATCGATTTTCTAAAGTCTCTGTTGAAAGAGTGGTTAAAATTTAATGTTCTCTCTCTCTTTGTGACTCCCACACACACACACACCAAGACTTCCCATCCTTTGTCCCTTTAGACTGAGAATTCCAAAACACCGTGTCCCTAAACAAACATGACCAGTTGCTAAAGAAGACTTCCGGCTTGAGCACTGTGCCTCTTTCAGTCCAGCCTGGAAACAAAACTAACTTATTTATTGATTTGATTTATACCCCCCCCCCCAAGGCATGTCAATGCATGCATTCTTCTAGTTCCGGTATTGTAAAAAGGTAAAGGTTCCCTTGCTCAAAAGCCAGTCGAATCCGACTCTAGGGTTGCGGTGCTCATCTCCGTTTCAAAGCCGAAGAGCCAGCGCTGTCCGAAGACGTTTCTGTGGTCATGTGGCCGGCATGACTAAACACCAAGGCGCACAGAACGCTGTTACCTTCCCACCAAAGTGGTACCTATTTATCTACTTGCAATTTCTTGCTTTCGAACTGCTAGGTTGGCAGGAGCTGGAACTAGAGGCGGGAGCTCCCTCCGTCATGCGGCACATCCGGGTCTCGAACTGCTGAACTACCGACCTTCCACAGCCTGCAGTTCAGCGTCTTAACCACTTGAGCCACCGGTATTGTACTAGGAGCTAATACAGAGGAGAAAGAAGGAGGGGAGCGACAAGTGGGAGTCCTTCTGCCCCCTGCAGGTTGTTCGTGCTGCCTCAGCTGACCAGTAAGTGGAAAATGTGGGGGGGAATGGGGTGTTACTGATGCCATGATGTCACTTACGGTACAGTCCAGAAATGACATAATCACTCCAGGATAACACTCTAGCATTCACCTCAAAAAGTCTATGGTAGCACTGGAAGTGAATTCATAGCGCTGCTCAGGGGTCATTTCGTAGAAAAAGAGCTAGGGGAACTCATTAGCATAACTCATTAGCATATGCCACACCCCCTGACATCACCGGAAGTGTGTCATAAGGCGACACCCCCTGACATCACCGGAAGTGTGTCATAAGGCCCGGAGGTGGACCTGCAAGGCCGGCAGGAGTGCAAGGAAGCCCTGCGAAGGCCCCCGCCCCCAACGGTCTCGGCCACCGCTGCTGGCCTTGCAGCTCCAATGACGAGCCCCATGAGGAAGCCCCACCAAGGCCCTCCCTGGCCCCAGGCAGGCAGGGGTGGGGAGAGGCGGGGAGGAAGCAACTTACCCTCCCTCTTCTCCTGCCTCCTCCTGGCTGAATGAGGGCTGGAAGCGGGGCGGCCGGAAGCAGGGGGCGGGGCTTTGTCGTGTGCCCCGCCTCTTCGCACCTCACCCGGGGGAACTGTGTTCCCCCGCGTTCCCCCCCGAATCGACCTCTGGCGCTGCTGCAAATCTGAAAAGGCAGCCCTGGAATAAAACCCAGTACAAGAGCCCATGTGATGTAGCGGATAGAAGACTTAGCCTGGGGAGGCTGAACTGGTCCTGGGTGGCACTTTTGGCCTGTTGGGAAAGCCCACAAGAATATATGTATGGATTTCCCCAATGGGCCTAAGTCGATTTCACATTGGGAAATGGGGCAAAGGGGGGGAAGACTGAAGCCCCTTCTCCACATGCACCACCATTAGAATCAGCCACCACACATGCGAGAATTGAGGAGAACCTGCCATTCATGTCTGACCCAGGACACAGGGCGGGGAACCAACCTGAGTATTCCATAACATGTAAAGAGGCAGATCTGAGCAACCCCGGGCCAGTCTTCGTTTCTCTCCCAACATCATCTTCATAGAGCTATTGTGAGAACACAACACAATCAATAGTGCATTCATTACGAAGGATTTGCATGCTTAGGTCATTCCCACACTAATGATACCAATTTATAGTATAACAATAAAATATTACATTTCCACAAAGTCCGTCCTCACAGATGTGATCCCAAGTGATTACTCGTTATGCCAATGAAGGTCGATTGATTGATTGAAGTGATTACTCCAAATTAAGTTCCATTCAATTCAACAGATTTACTCCAACAAAAGGAGTTCAGCATCTTGGTCTTTTATTTAATCTTCGTTGTCCCAATTTTGGCCACTGGCAAAGCACTGGGCATTTCTGACTTCCAGGCATTCATCTCTGATGGAGCGTCTCTCTCACCCCCAAGCTCCTGCCACAGTTCTTCCCCCAAGTATTGGGCTGTCTTTGGGAAGGGAGGGATCGACACCCCAAGGTATGGATACCAGCAGCCAGGAGGATCTGGGGGCAATCTTGCACCCCTCTTCCTGGTCCTCCTTATCCAATGGGTTGTCAGTGACACCGTCTGAATGTTGGCAGAATTTAAACAATGCAGAGGAATGGAGCACCAACTGTCTAAAGAAAATAACTCGCACCCCTGCCACATGGGGGGGGGGGAATAGCACGGGCAAAGTGCGGCTTTCTAAAGCCGCACCAAAAGAGAGACGCGGCGGTAGGATCACATAGATCCCCTGAGCAGCCATGCACTTCCTCCCTGGCACGATCAGATGCCGGTGGGAAGCCACTGAAGAAAGAGCGCGACAGCCGAACTGTGCATGTGTGCGCATGCGCAGTTCGGCAGGGAGCCTGGATTGATCTGGACGATGGGCGCGGCAGTGATCCCAAGGCCGCGCTTGCAGCGGTGCTTCAGGTAAGTCCTCCTCTGTAGGAGGTTCTTTTTTGCAGCGGGTTTTCCAGGTTTAGGGATGGATCGGGAACGGGTGCGTGCCGCTTCCCAGATGTTGTGGTGAGATCGTGCCCGTTTGCTGCGCCCCCGATCCGTCCCTCTCCCGGGCCAAAGTCTCCCGTGTGACCGGGGCCTCGGTTTATTAAAGAAGAAATAAACTCTGATAGAACAGAGGCAAGGCAGAGAGGCATAACTAACTGACTAACTGCTGTGAGAGGCAGGAACCAAGGGGGAGGGCTCAGTTGGAGCAGGAAATCTCTGAACAGCCAATCAGGAGACAGGGAGGACATAATGTGAAATTGTGGGAAATTCCTAATCTAGCTGTGCTAACTAGCAGTCCTTCAACTGTCCCCTGTAGGCTGTTCTTCTGATCTTCTTCAAGTAGGTGCACTATAGACCTTGTATATTCCAACACTGAATTCCTCATAAAAAAATCAAACATTGTTATCTCCACTTGCATCTCTGCTTGCAGATCTTGCGCAACTGATTTTTGGGCACTACAGTATATAGGGAGGAAAGCGCTCCCCCCTTCCCCCAGTCACGATCACACCTTCCAGCCCTGCAAAAACTCTTGGGTCACATATTCAGCCCCAAAAATTTAAGCAAAAGAAAGGCTGCCTGGATTTCAAAACTGCTTGCTCCCCCCCTCCCCCATTCATGTTTGACCCTTCCAGCCCTACAAACAGGCACCAGGTTTCCAGTTTTATTCACGTCTCCCTGAATTAGGTTTGCCAGCCTCCAGGTGGGACCTGGGGATCCCCTGGATTTACAGCCCATCTCCAGAGATATCAGCTCCCTTGGGTGCTCGCTTCAGCAGCACATATACCAAAACTGGAACGATACAGGGAAGATTAGCATGGTCCCTGCGCAAGGATGACATGCAGATATCCGCTCCCTTGGAGAAAATGAATGTTTTGGAGGCTGGACTCTGAATGGCATTGTGTCCCACTGAGGCCCTGTCCTCCCCAGGCTCCATCCCCAAGACTCCAGGAGTTCCCCAACCTGGAGCTGGCAACCCTACCCCCCAGCCCCACCTTTCTAGCCAGGAAGGACCTGGCAACCCTTCCAAACACAATAGAGTGTTTCGACCGAGGGCCAGCCAGATGTTCCCAGTAAAGGCTGCGGGGGGGGGGGAGCTGTGCCTGCCTGAATTGCTGAATGAGGGTGGAGGAACTGAAGGGTTGGAGCAACTGCAGATGGCCTCCACCTTATCATAACAGCAACAGGATGAACGGAAACGAGCGCTGAGCTGTTTCCAGCCTCTCTTCTCTAATGTGCCTGCCCAGAGTGATTTATTAGTCCATCATACAGAGAGGCCATGGATTTAGACTTCAACTTTTTAAAGCAAAGTGTTTATTGTTTGGTATTTATACTCTGCTTGGTTATGTATATCTTTGATGTAGTATGTTGTAATAAATATAAAATTAAATTAAAAAAAATACAGAGAGGCCATGGTGGCTCAGAGGTTAAGACGCTGAGTTGCAGACTGGAAGGTCGGTAGCTCGGCAGTTCGAGACCCGAGTGCCGCATGATGGAGTGAGCTCCCATCTCTGGACCCAAATCCTGCCAACCTAGCAGTTCGAACGCAAGAAATTGCAGGTAGATAAATAGGTACTGCGTTGGTGGGAAGGTAACAGCATTCCATGCACCTTGGCGTTTAGTCATGCCGGCCACATGACTACGGATGAGTCTTCAGACAGCACTGGCTATTTGGCTTGGAAATGGAGATGAGCACCACCCCCTAGACTCAGATTCGACTGGCTTTCGAGCGAGGGAAACCTTTACCTTTACATATAGAGACGGGCACATGCTCCAACAAAGTCCTTACCTATTGAATGGCCCCACAAAAGAGATTGTGGCTGCTGGGATTCAACAAATGTTGAAGTTGGGGGGTAATTAAGGAGTCTCACTCTGATTGGGGAGCTCCTGTGGTTATTGTGCTAAAGATGAAGTTGTCAGAGGATGCCCCCAGTTAAATAAGCTAACGGTTGTGGATCCTTATCTTACTCCTAGAACTGAAAGCTTGATTGAAAACTTGGCTGGGGCTGCTTCCATCAGCACTACTGATATGGTGTCAGGGTATCGGGCAGTCCCACTGAGCCTTAAAGCTTCTGATAAGATTTCCTTTGTGTCACCTTTGGGATATTATCCATTTGTCAAGATACCGTTCGGCTTAAATGGCTCAAAGACTTTCCAGAGAGTGATGGATCAAGTACTGCGTGGACCACCTTTTGCTGCTGCCTATAAGAACGATATAGCCCCACTTGGGAAGAACACCTGGACCATGTGAGAGATGTTCTCCAGAGGGTTCATCAAGCCAGACTCACAATCAAGGCCTCTAAGTGTCGATTTGGCTGTAATCACGTTGTGTATTTGGGGCATGTGGTTGGGTCAAATAGCATTAGGCCTTGTGAAGAAATGCATTTTCTCCTGGGAGGCTGGGAAGGAGCAAAGCCTCCACTCTGCGTTTTAACAGGGTTTTTTTTAAATCTAGGCAAAGGTGGCAGTCAGTTTGCTTGTACTTCAGCTCACCTTCATACAAATGTTAATGGGTCTAGACAAAGGGATGGTCAAGCTTCCCCCTTCTCCAGGCAGGGAACAGAGTTGGGGGTGTCAAATTCTAGAGTGGCTTGAGGAAGGAACTTTTTAAAAACAACAGGAAATCCTTCCTTGACATGGGCTGACTGGGGTCAAGGGGGTGGAGTAACAGAGATGATAGAATCTCCTGGCATGAGGAAGGTGCTCTCTTTTCCTTGGGTACACCAGGAGCACACACAGACTCCTCCTCTGCAAGTGGGCTGCCATTGACCATGTGCTCGCCCAAACAGCTACAGACAGTTTTAAGGTAATAGAAACACTGTAGAGAACTAAAACAATTAAGCTAAAGAGCCTGTCCTATATTTTAACAGATGATAGGGCATGTATAGAGAAAGAGACAGAGGATTTGCATTTTGACCGAGTTCTTTTGTATTCCTTGCTCAATCTGGTGCTGTGCTAAAAGTATGGTTGTAAACATTTTATTTATAATAAAGGCTTTATAACTTTTGGTGCCAGGGGAGGTTCTCTGTACCACATAGACCTCCACTGTGTCAAGCACACTATCTGAAGAGGGGAGCCAGTGGGAAAGCAGGCAGTT